ATGAAATGTAAAAGTTGAACATTGCTCAACTATGGAGCTGCGTTGCTACATCAGAAGTGTAAATATGTACTTCAGTGTTGAGTTGAGGACAGCAAATATAATAGAACTCTACCAACTCCACTTTCACAACACCATGTTGCCACTGGACTGTAAACCGATTCATAATTTTCCTGACAAATTTTGATTCCGTAACAAAGGATCCAGTATGAGCTCACACTGTAGGTCCTGAAATCATAAATCCCCGATGCATGTCCCTCTTCTAGATTATCAAACAATGACAAATATTATTAAAAATTTTTACATTGTTCACTTTATTTTATAAAAGTGCATATAAGATATTTGCCTTAAAGAATTAAAATGCTGTTTTATATTTTGTAATTTGTTTTTACCGTATTACATACAAATAACCAATTTTCAATAATAAAAAAACCCAATTATTATTATTATTTTGATTTCTTTTATGTTAAATGAAGTTTTTTTAAGTTTTACTTATGTTTTTTTTTTTTTTTAAGTTTTGTTTTTAGTTTTTTTATAACACAGCTAAACTTCCAATTTTTACAAGACTCCATTTACTTGGAATAACAAACTTACACAAGATTGGATTGTAACAAGTAAGGTGTTTTAATAGAGTCAAAAGATATAAAAAATGCTGTTCTTCAAGTAACAAGCTGCACTTTCAAATATCGCTGTAGGAAGATACTATCTGTAATGAAACACACTTGTGTAAAACAGTGGTTTTCAAAGTTATACTATCTGTGGACTATGTAAACTGAATTACCAATAAATTGTGGACCACTTACGTCTCTGCATCCACTTTTTAACATGTAAAATCATCTCAGATAGAATATTTTGACAAATTTCTATCAGTAATCTAACATAAACTACAGATAGGATGATGAATAAAAGTATTCTTCTCTCTTCATAAACAGCATAGAATTAAATTTTATAAAAATGAATAGAGCTCACAGACCACACTTTGAGAACCACTGATATGGAGATTGAATGTAATAAATCTGTAATCCAAAATTACAATAAAAATAATGCTTAATTCATTAAAATATAATGTAAAAAATATTCATTTATATCTTTTGACTTCATTAAAGCATCTTTTTTGTTACAATTTGTATTTTAGTGGAATATTAAGAGATTGACTTTTGCTCATAAAATTGGAAAATTAAATAATTTTTAAATTCAAATGTTTATCAACCAATTTCTTTTTTTACTTCTACCAAAACATAAATACATATAAAATGATAAATTCAACATAAAAATATACAGTTTCATATTATGAATAGTAATAAAAACATATCCAAAATCAAAACATTCAGAATTTAAAATACTTTGAATGAAATTCTACTTGCATTTTGTTTCCTCCTAAATTATTTTTTTTAGGCTAATATTTTATTAACTTACTGAATTTATTAATTTCAGATTATTTAAAATTTATTAATATTTTAAGATTACTATATATTAATTTTTTGTATGAAAATTGCATGTATTTTTTATAATATGATCTTTATTTTTATCATATTAATTAAGATTTTTAAACTTATTCTCATCATTTATTAAGTTAAAGAAATTAACTATAAATAAATTTATTGTTATTTACTTGAACTTTTATATATTCAAGTAAATAATAATGTTAAATTTGTTAACTTTCTCGACATAAATTTATTTATCCTAGTAAAAATATTAATGGATATTGTTTCGGAAGTGGATTTCAGATAGTTTAACCGAATTACATGCAACAATATCGCTTGTTATCAACTGACGTGTCTAAATGATATGAAACAATATCACATGATACTAGGGTAACAGTGAAACTGGATAATTTTAAAATCAAACACATTACAAACCATAAAACTCAAGCAAAACTGTTTAATTACTAAAGTTTTTGACCTCATTGCTAAATTTGATACAGCCTAACCTTTGGACAAGATTGAAAATGTTAGTAATTAAACAAAGTTTTGCTGGAGTTTTATGGTTTGTTGTATGTGGACTTGATACTACTTAAACAATGACAATCGATAGGCATCGTTCTCACTGCTTATTTGATATTAATGATGCCAACTGGTCAAATAATAATGCCAGATTCATTGGATCATAACTTAGCTAATTATATACATATAAAGTAATTTGGACTAATGGATGCCAATTTACAATAATTTATATCTTTTGCAATTACTTACCATTGGGAATAATATCAAATGATATTTTTATTAGATATATAAAATTATTTCTGAATTTGATTATGATGAAATTTGTTTTTTTTAAATATATTTAAAATAACAATTTTCTAATTAAAATAACAAGATTAATTTTATTTTATGACTAACATTATTTATCTAATAATTTTGCTTGAAATTTAAAATTTTTATTCTTTCTTTCAGGTTCTTAACAAACATTTTTGTGATTATATATTATTGTTTATTATAGTACTATGTTAGTTTTAATATAGTACTATAATATTATATATTGTTAGAATAAAATCACTCTGTTAAATGATTTAACTATAATTAAATAACATAGTTAAATCATTATATTGTGATAGGATTTGTTCTAATGTATAAAATAAAAACATAAAACAGCAAGTTTGTAATAAGATTTAAATGAACAAAATTTAAGGTATAAAATATATATGTGCCTATCAAGTGGATAAGAGCATAATTTATGAGAATATTTAGTTATGCTTACAAAAAAGATTTGAATGATTTCAAGTATTAGATGCTAATCATCAGAAAGAACAGTTCAAAAATAGTAAACAGTCAATTAGGAAACAAAGTATTCAAATTTGTTGCTTTGGAGACAATAGTTATGCATTGCTTAATGACAAGGATATGTTTCAAGAAATACATTGTTAAGTGAACATTGTATAGTGTGCCTTATATTGTAACACAACAATAAGTATTTATGTATGTAAATATATCGAAACATAGACTAGATACAGTCGGCTATAAATTGTTCAGCTCCATTATAAACTTATAGGACCTCCGTCACATTTCATCATTAAGCACAATGTCATTAAGCAGCATATACCTATAAATTAAAGGAACAGATTTGAGTATGTTTTGTTTCCTAAATAACTATATTCTATTTTCAAATAACCATTCCTGATTTTAAGTATCTAATAAGTTTTGATTTATAAATATAAATATTTGACTTAAATGTTGTAAATGTAGTAGTAAAAATACATTTTTATCTAAAACTGGTATTAATTAAAATGTAACAAAGAGAGAATATATAAGTTTTTTCTAACTTCCCTTCAATAAAATTGAAAATTTATTTAAATTGAATTAAAAAATGATAAGCAGCTAAATTTTTAATGCGATTTTTAATATTTTTAAAGCTACAGCAAAGATTTATAGTGGTTTTAAAAGTATTTAGGACAGGAAACCTTTACTATTTTTCTTACTATCCTATTTATATCATTCAACTAATTGAAATCTTGTAAACAACTTTAGAAGTGACCTTACATTTTGCCAAATTTGTAAAGAATGCAAGATTGCAAAATTTTATTTTGTATTATATTTCCTTGATGCTAATTTAAAACATTGAAATTATTACATAATACCCCAGCTGTATTGGTGTAAAAATACAGTATATACGGTACAAGCATTAAAAATGCTTTATAAAAATAATAATTTATTGTTCTGTTGAGCAATGTAGAACAAATCCTTACAGTAAATATTATAACATGGAAAAGATGTTGATCTATAAAGTTTCTTTGAATGTATGTTATTGCACATCCTTATAGTGATTAGGATTAATCCTTATAATTCTATAAATATATAAGTATCAAATCGTGAAGGTTCACTTCTAAGACCTTCTAACGTCATTCATTTGACCAAACTACAGTTGCAAGTATACAATTAAAGATAAATGGAATAATTATATTTCCATGTTATAATCAACATTACAGAGTGAATTTTTCTAGATAAAAAAAATATGTAAATAGCAAATAACCTGAAATCCATCGGTTGTTAGATATGGAAAGAGTAACTTATTATTTATTGATTAAAACCAATAATTATTATTGGTTTTAAAATGATAACATTTTGAGTAAATTTAAAATTTATTTCATTTATTTTTCATCTATAATTATAATATCTTACAGTATTTTTAAGTTTTCAGATTGAAATGTTGAATTATTAATAGTTGGATTTCAGGTATTTGGGTTCTAATTCTTCCCTTAACATAAAAACATATAAACTTAATATTTTTTTCAATTGATTATTAAATTCATTATTTAGAATGTTATTCATTAAATACTATTCATAATTTGAAAGTTTTGAGATAAGAATTTGGAGAAAATTTTAGAAAAATATTTTAAATACACAAGGAACATAAACAATTGCCAAAAACAACTTTCATAGCAGCAACAGAAAACAAGAAAATGGCAATAATAAAGCTAGTAATTTATTTTAAAAGCTGAATTTTTTCATTTAATGGTATAAACATTTTCAAATAAAAAAAATATATAATTTCATAAAATGGATATTCGTACACAAAAAGAATAAAATAACACCAGAGGAGGATTTGAATATTCACATAATTATAATCCTTCAACTATATAAAGTCAACAAACAATTCTTAAGAAAATGTGTCACAGCTTCTGATGGTGGACACTTTACATCTTATAAAAACAGAAGGACTGTAGTTTACTTTTTTATAATTATATATATTTTTTATATATTTTCTCTTTGCTTAAAAATTTGTATATTCTATAATAATTTTTTTTTAAATTCTATCAAACATCAATATTTTTTTATTAGAAATTTATCTAATTTTACTTTTATAATTTTAACTTTACTTTCAAACTATATAATAGTTATAGCTCTAATGAGTAATCTAATCAAATCAATACTAATGCATCATCTCATAATTATATATATCAGCAACTAACATTCTGCTAAAGTATAACATATTTTTTTTTTTTTTAATCATTCAATTTTCGATATATATCAGCAGCTTATTAAAATTCGGCTAATATTTCTATGCAGGAAAACCGACAGACGGTCAGAAAGTTCCTGCACGAGAGGGAACTCAAGAAAAGGTCCCAAAGCCTAAAGACGTGAAACCAAGTAAGCCGAGTGAAAAAAAGCCACCAACAGAAGCAGTGACACCACCGCGATTTGTTAAAGAACTAAAGCCCATAGTGTCCAAACCTGGTACAAAAGTTACTTTTGAATGCCAAGCAGAAGGAAATCCGGAACCAAAATTAATGTGGTATTATAAAAATTCACCCATTCAATCGTCAAAAGATTTCCGTATTACTCACAAAAAAGACGGAGTGTCAACTTTGGAGATCAAAAAAGCTTTACCCGGTGATGCTGGAGTCTATAAATGCAAAGCAACTAATCGAATTGGTTCAGCAGTTACAGAATCAACTCTGACAATAAGAGGTATAAATTACATTGAATTCTTTTTTTTTTACTTCTTTATATTATATAAATTTTTTCTTTAAAACAAATAATTTAAAACATCTCATAAATAGTATAACATATTTTATTATAAAACTTGCTTAGAAACAAAAAAACAACATATATAAGCAAATTTGTAACTGAAAGACTCACTCAAAAGTCATTATAACTAAATGACATATAGAAAGATTATTATTTCAACTCTTACAGACTTATAAACAATTATAAGTTTACAGAAGCAAAAATACTAATTTAAGAGCATTATGAATGAGAAATGTTTAATTGAAAAAAAAAAATATTGGCAGTTACTGAGTCAGATTTATACACAAACTAAACAAGCTACAATTTAGGATCTCACATTATTACTATTTAGTGGAGGAGGAAAGGCTTCTGATATGTTACAGCTTAAGTTTCAATCTGGCTCTGCATATACTAAAGACAATCAGAATCTATAGATTTTTCATAAAATTTAAAAATTAGAGCAATGAATTCTTAAATTTTGAATATATATACTTTTATAGCTATCTTTTATACATAAAAAATTTAGCATCATGCATAGTAAGACTTCTATACTTCATTTATGAATTTTTATTGAAAAAATATACAAATTTACATAATATTTTAAATACATGTGTGAATGTTTCTTAAATTACAAATTATTGAATGAAATTTTCAATAATTTGTAATTTAACTTGACCAAATATAAATTCTATCCATTTACATTTAGCCTACAGTATGTAATAGAGAATTAACAATAAAATAACAAAGAATTTGCACAATCACAATATTTCAAGTTAATCTTAAAATCATGATCAGTATTTTGTCAAGTTTGTTTATATTTTAACTTGCTACAAATTCCACTATGTAAGATAACAATAATAGATATTGAAATTTGATACAAATGCTGCTTTAACTATTAAGCAAACAATTACACCATAAACAGTAATGTTTTATTAAAACAATTAAACATATTTACATATATCTGATAGACTCATCAGAATATAGAACAGTTCAAAATAGAATGTGGAAACAATCTTTAAAGCAAATACAAATATTTTTTTCTAACAACATTGCTGTTTATGGAGTGATTGTCTGTTTAATAATAGATATTGTATGTGATATGCTCAGAATATATGGCAAGGATAACAATTTGATTCAATAATTCAGTTTGTCTCAATACAATAATGCACACAAACAATCTTGATCATGGAATTGGCTACATAAAAGAACACCAACTTCCTGGTTCTGTCATATTTTATAAGATTTTTATGTTAGTATTTTATATACAAAATATCAATATTCATTTTAAATAACTGCCATATTTCATATTTTTCTAAGAAATTAGAATATTTCAAAGAAAAATTATAAAAATGAAAAGATACAAATAATAATGCAGCTGCTTCTTTGATAATTAAACATAAAACTGCTTTATTATATTACAATTTACTAAAATTATACAAATATGTTTAGAACTATATCAGGATAATTCTCAAATAAATAAATAAAATTATCAACATATTTAAATGAAACCAGAGCTTAATCAATCAACTTTGTAGATGAGTAGAGCGATCTATATATTTTGAAACCTGAAGTGAAAAACTAAAAACAAACCTCTCCCCTTTTGAGAATTTTGATGATAAAACTCTTGTTTAATTTGTATATTTATTTATATATAATTTATTTATAATTTATATATGAATACAGTTACAGACATTTATTTTATTTAGTAAAATACTAAATCTTTATGCCTAATATTGAAATTGAGTTAATGGGCCCCATTAAAATGTGAGGCCTTCATGACAGTTGCTTTGCCCTTTCATCCACTTCACAGTAGATCTGTAATACTACCAATTTTTTTTTAACTTAAAATTGATGGTTTCATAAGCAAAACCGGAACTGATAGGATATCAGATCTGAATTCCGTTCTCCAAGAAGTCAGTTTTTATAGTTAATTATAAAAGTGAGATATTATAGGATTATTTTAGTTTAATATCATAAATGTGTTTAAATGAAATAAAGAATTTAATCATCATTAAGGATCTTATCATATGACAAATAAGCAAAAACTTTGAAGAGCCAAATAGATTAATATGTGAATAACTAACTTTCATATAACTTAAAAGTAAGATTTTTCCGTGGAAAGCATTATTAAAAACTGTAGAAATCAAATTATATCAATTGATATAATTTCTCATTATTTGGTCATTTGAATTTCTTAATAAATTGAATATAAACAAGAAAAACTTTTATTCAATTTCTTTTCTATATCAAGAAGAATATACAATTAAAACTTTAGGCATCAACCTTTTACACGAGCTGCTGTTTAGTTGAAATATGCAAAATTATTAAAAATATCTTTCAGTATGGAAATTGTATGAAAAATTAAAATAGGCAGTCCAGAAAAGATGTTTCAAGTTAAGAATTTTTTAAATTGTATTTGGAAAATATATAAATTATAAATAATAACAAAAAGTGTCATTATAAATATTTTTACATTGATGGTCGAGGCAGTTAAGTTTACCTCTCTTGTAAACTTTGGATCAAATCCTGATAAATAACTCCATAGAAATTTTTTAAGGGTGATCTAGCCCAGAAATGTTAGATCCTGTCCCTCACACCTTGTTGCTTCCATTCTGGGTCTGGCAGAACTTATAATAGATATAGTAAAAAGGCTTTGTCACTGCCCATAAGGCAAAAAAGCAAAAAAATAAAAATATATTTCATCTGAAAAGAGAAATATCCAACACGTAGTTGAATTAAACATCACTAGTAATTTATTTTCAAATATAAAACATTTTAAAATTGATTTTAATCAGAGAAATGAAAATTATAGTGATTTTTTTGGGATAAATTTCCAATCAAATTACAGTTAGCATTTGTATACAGATCTTAAAAAACATCAAATGTTTTTAAATAAATTTCTATCTAATTTGTTATTTGTATATATCCTTTGATTGTAAAAATATATCAAAAAACTTATAATACAATTAAAAAAAGAATATTCTCTTACGCATTAAACTAAAGTGAATGTATTTTAATTGATCTGAACAGTTATTCTTTTCTATAAAAATTACTGTAACTAAATTATGGAATTAAAACTAGAACTATTTTAATTCTGAAACAACAGTATGTTTCTTAAAGCTCTTCAGATGTAAATATATGATAGTTCAAATTTCTTCTTTTAGAGTAAAAATTATTTGTACGTTATAGAAAATTCAAACTTTTCTGAAAGATTTTGCTCTAAAAAAATAAAGCAGCTTGATTTCAATAAAATAACAGTTTAGAATTCTTTACACAATATTAAAATTAAGTATTTTATATTATATTTGTTTTTGGTTAGATTTATGATCAAATTCATAATTTCTTTTCTCCGTGTGAAGCAATACAGAGTGCCAAATATTACTTTCATAGACACGCAACATCATATTTCCTGTTTACCAAATACTTTTGAATCTACTAGTAGACTAGGATTTATTTTAAACTATTATTTTTAACCCTCTTAGAATGGAATGTTACTGAAGTTCTGCCAACAAGGTCATGCATTAATAAAATTTGGCAAAGCTGAACTTATGTTAATCTGAATTAATGCCAATTTCTCTAAAAATAATCCAATTAAGTCAAAAGAACATTTTTCATTTCAACAAATCGTAATTATTAACTATATTTTTACTTAAGAGTTTTATAATAAACTTAAATATAATTTCAAACATGTTAATAAAAATTTATATTAAATAAATAAATAATTAATTTAAATTAAAAAAATTGAATATATGTTTTTTAATTTGCAATTTTTCATAGTATCATATTGTAAATTACTATTTGAAACAAACCAAAAACTGCTTTGTCCATTATCATGGAATAAGGCCATAAAATAACATGAAACAAGCCTGAAATAAGTTGACAAAAGTACATACTCTTTATACATATTTTTAGTGTTAATTATACTGTTTATTCAATTAAAATGTTGCTTTTATAATTTGAAAACTATGCTCATAACATCATTAATTTTGCTTATATTTAATCCTTAAGCAACTGTGAATACTTACAGGTTACAAGGAAAATAACTAATCACATGAGTAAAATGCTTAATGCTCATATGCACAAATATTATTTTGTAAATTTAAATTTCATTCATTTTATTTCCACATACTACAGTAAGACAAAAGATAAGAAATTTCTTAAAACTCACAACATTCTGAATCCATTCTATAACTGAAGGCAATATACAATCAGTTATACCGTAGAGTCAGATATAACTTGGAGGCAATGAACAAATTTTAGATTACATTGCATTTTCAATTACTGGATGAATCATTTGCAACACACAAGTATTAATCTTAATTTTTGAATCCAACAATCTTTAATTCAAGTTTGACAAACTTTGAATCTAATAATAGATCTGCTTCAGATCTAGAGAGCTTAATATTCTAATTCTGGAATGTACTGTACATGTGAAAATTTAGGAATATATAATTTTGAATATTTTGATACAATACATTCCAGAATTATAATATTAAGCTCTCTAGATCTGAAGTAGAACTATTATTAGATTCAAAGTTTGTCAAATTTGAATTAAAGATTGATGGATTTAAAAATTAAGGTTAATACTTGTATAGGTTGTACTTTTTTTGAGATTTTAATTCTTAGTGTGTAATGTCTACAATACTAGTTTTCAATTTTTTTTACTATTAGTGGACTTAGAGGTCACCTTAGATGAAAGAGAAAAAATGACCCTAAATTAAATTTTCCAGAATAAATTGAGGAATAAGGAATCTGAATTGAAATCAAATTCAGATTCCTTATAACAATATTAGAATTCCTTATCTTCAAACTTCTAGATGTCATGCATTATAAGAAAAGATAACTATAAAAGTTTATTTTCATGAATAATTAATATTTGATATATAGTCCAATAATGTAATCATATTTTTATGCAAAATAAATTAATGTTCAGTATTTCCCAAATATCTTTACTGGTTGAAGGGAATGAAGTGGTAGCCAGATGACCAAAAAATATTGCATAATATTATGAAATTTTTTATTATTTATAACTACAATCCCTCTTTCTTTACAAATACTCTTATATAGAATATTTGTATATACAGGGTGTCCACTTAAACAACTGTCCAGGGGCGAAAGAGATCTTTCCAGTATTGCATGAGAGTATGCATGTGATGCATGCTTGATCCAGAGCTAAAATAACTGAATGAGATGATTTAGCATAACATACAAATAATCTTTGACTGTAAAGAATAAAGACAAAATTTCAGAAATTGATACAAAAAAGTGTTTTATTTTGTTAGAGAACATGTTCAAAATGACTGCTTTCAGTGGCAGTACAAAGAACGGTCAAGCATAGCATTATGGATGACACGTAGCATTCCTAATGTCACTGTTTCATAGTCATATCATATGTATCTCTCCAGTTTGGTAACATGAGCTACTGGGTATGTATTATACATGGATTCTTTTAAGTGATTCCACACGAAAATATCCAGAAGGATCAAGTCTGGAGAATATGGTGGCCATAGAACATAGCCATGTCGCCAGTGGTTCCAAACCCCTCTCTTCAAGCCACTGATTCATATCTGTCTGGGAATGAGCTGGTATGCCATTGTACTGTAAAACCTACTGTGTTATGCCAATAGCAAGTCATCAAGTCATTCATTCATCAATGTGTTTAGGATGTTCAGACATTAGTCACTATTGAGGGTGCCATCTATTTATGAAGCATATTCTGCCTAGTGGCATTTTCTAAATGAATTAATTGTTTGATCCTGGATAGATATTTAAATATCAGTTATTTTAGCTATGGAACAAGCATATAACAAGTGCATAGATTCATGTAATGCTGGAAAGATCTCTTTTGCTCCTGGACAGATGTTTAAATACCCCCACATATATAATCAGTTTCTAGAATTTGATTTTTTTGATCTTTAGACAGTTTTTCCACCTTTTTCTATTCATACATATTTCTTCCTTGATATCTCTCTTCATAATTTTTCATATATATCGTCTTCCCAAGTCTTTCTCTTTCATTTTTTGTGGTTTCTATTCCATGCCTATCGTTAGCAATTTGTATTTTCACATATCCACCATATCAACTGCTTTCTTTTTATTTTGCCAATAATTGATTCCTTTATGTCAATCACTTTATTATTCATGTACAAAATGAAAAATTAATCAGCATAATCTTGTCACTGCAAACATTTTAACTGCACTTAGCTGGCTATCTCTCAATCTGTTTTTGATATTCCCTACATATTGGCTTCAAATATTGCATAATATACTTCTCAGGTGTTACATATATTCTGTTTTCTTTCTATGATTTTGGCTTTCCAACAGATTCCACTCATTCTCTAATTAAACTACCTTTCCTTATTTTTTCCTGTTTTCTATCACTCAATTATCTTTCTCATCTTGGACTTAATTTCATTCCTAAATATCTGTAATGGTCCCAAACTGTCTTCTGCTGCACTTCCTTCAGCTAATGCCATGCCTTGGAGTTCCACAAAGACAACCAATACAGAATGAAGCAAAATGATGACTGTTCACATTTCCAAACTAAACTTAATCCACTGGAGAAAAAAAGAGTTCTAACTAATTCTGTTAATTTATACTACCCTATACTTTCCTCATGCAAATAGTTTGTTTTCTCCATATTCATAGATAATTCACATAAACTACTTAAAAGACATTATGCAAAAAATTCTGCTATTGACATCATTGAAATGATCTTAGAATTCCAAAATGAATGGTAGTACAGTTGAAGTAAATTGCATGTAGTCCTCAAATTTACTTCAATAGTTTTTATGTTAAATCAAACATAAAAACTATTCAGTGACTACCCAGGGATTACTATTCAGGGATGATGATGATGATGATAATTAAGCATAATTCCAAATGTCATATGTAAATTTATACTGTATATTGTAATCAGTTATTGTACTTACTGTAATACATAAGGTGCAAATTTTGTAGTTGTTTAGCAATCTGGCATATTGATTCTAAACATAATAAAAGATTTTGAGTTACACTTTCATATTTTTTTAAATGGCTTTTTGTTGTTGTTTCTGGTTGGAAAATTATAGGACATAGAAACCACAACAATAGTTTAGGATCATACTTTATACATACAGGCTTATATATGTTAGGCTCAAAGATCAAAAATGGTTAATGAGTAGATAAAAACAGACAACTGTTGTGGCTTTATAGAAACACCCAAAAGAAATTTGCATCCTGGCATTTCTTAAAATTCTGTAATAAAAAATTTGTTTTGGAACTGTTAAAGAAAATGCCTACAACACATTCCAGACATTATTAACGTACTACAATGCATTGTTCCAGAAACAACATGAGGCACTTTTATAGCACACACATCTGCCATCTTAACCTCATTAACGAAGAAGAGTAGGCCGATTCAAGACAACTTAGCTGTCTTATTTAAAGATATAATAACTGCAATTTATATAAATTTTATACTTTTAATATGGAATCTTTCAAAAGATAGACTATGCAACACAATTGAGATTATTATTATAGAGTATGTTAAACAATTACTAAAAAAAAAATCATATGATTAAATAAAATTTACAAAACAGAGTTCATAAATTATTGTAAACATTAATATTACGTTACCTTTATATAGAAACGGGTGAACCTCCCAAATTCACAGTTCTACTAAAGCCAACTACTACATGTGAAGGGAAGACGATAACATTATCATGTGTTGTAAAAGGAAATCCAAAACCAGAAATAACTTGGTATCATAACAAAGAAAAACTCCAGCCTTCCAGAGATTTCCAAATAACTCATAAACCAGAATCAGGTCTTGTGACTTTAACGATACCAGAAGTATTTCCAGATGATGATGGTATCTTTCATTGTAAAGCTGTAAACTGTTTTGGAGAAGATGAAACATCAGCAAAACTCACTGTTACAGGTAAAAATTTATATCAATTACATAATTTCAGATAACACTGCAATATTTTATTATTAATTTATCCAAAATTTATGTTATAATTGCAGAAGATATTGTGATAATTGAAAAGACAGATGTATGTGAACGTCCTCGATTTATAAAGCCACTTCTTCCTAAAACTGCACCCGAAGGTGAACCAGTAGAAATGTCAGTAGAAGCAACAGGTGTTCCTACACCTGCTTTATCATGGTTAGTATACTATAAAACATTATATAATCCATTAATTTAATTAAAAATAAAAAGTTTGATTTCAAATATAAGAATTTTGCCAGGAAAATAAATAATACTGATAAGTATTATTTATTGATATAATACATATCAGTAAATAATACTCCATATCATATATACTGAAAATAAACAATATTGATAAGTATTATTTATTTTCAATATTTAAGTATATGCTTTTAAAGTTTGTTGTTACAATTATTTCAAAAGAATGTGATATAAAGAAAATATAAAATGAAAAATTTTATATTTGGATTGGATTGGACTGATGGGATAAGGCAACAACACATGGGTGATTTGCCAAAGGAGATGCATTGCAAAAAGAAGTTCAATGGGAAACTACTATCCCCTGTTTAGGGTTATACATGTAAAAAAACAAAAAATGCCATGTGACCAATCAATTGGTGAAGTACAAACTTGTAACCAACAACTATTGCTCAGTGGTTTTATCCACTGAAGCACTGACGGGCATAATTTTGTATTTGTATCCCATCTATTAATTTTTTTATAATTGAATAAAGAAATCTATAATTAAAACTTAATTTAAACATGAAAGCTGAAGAAAACTGTATTTTTTAGTACCAAATAATCTTTTTAAATTATTAAATTGCTATAGTTTGAATATAATTAATATTTTTAAATTATTAAAAGCCCTCTTTCTGCCTGAGATGGATGTGATAAAAGGACCTTTTACCACATCCATCAAAGGTTTATCCAAGAAAAGGTGATCAAACAACCATTTTTCCCGACATGTCCTATATTTTAGCCTTTCTCTGATGACCAGTAGAAATTTTCAAGTTATTGAAATAGTGAATATCCTACATTTTAAGAATTTCTGTTTTTGGAGGTTACCATGTAAATTAAAATTTATAATAAATACATTGATTTTACAGTGTAAATTGCACAGGCATTTGCTAACAACAATTTCAATTACAGTGGGTAATCAGTTAACGAACAAATTGGATAATGAACACTTTCGTGAAAGATTTTTATGTTTGGACAACAAACACTTCACAGAACAAAACAAGAACAAGTGATGTAAAATAACGAATTCTGATTGGTCTTCAGGCAACAATTCGAAACTTTTTGGAGTGCAGGAGATGTCGACATTGACACTCAACCCAGTATATATTGCTTGGATAGTATTTCTCCAAACTTTGAAACTCTCCCTTGTAATTCCAGCCTTTTTCTGACAGAAACAATTCTTTTATAGTATTCGCGAGACTGTCAGGTGGGCACTTGTTAAGTTTTGCATCGGTTTTTATTTTCGAAAGGTGAGAATATAATAGCAAAGGTAGAGAGTGGGCAGATGTTTGATGTTACTGGGCAGTATGGCTTGAACAGGTCTACAATAGGCTGCAGTTCAATCTTATCTGAGAAAGATACTGTATAATCAAGAAGACTCAAGCAGCTAAAGGAGTAACAAAAATCACATCTGAGAAATAAAGAATTGAAAGAGCTCATAATGGAACCTGAAACTGATCTGATGACAGAAGAATGCCAAGAACTCTTGAATGAACACCAAGAAACTTTGCAAGATATGTTAAATATGTTTTCTTCTGAAAAAGAGGATTAATGCCAATATCTGCTATTAAACATCTTTTGAAGAAGTGGGAGGATGTCAGAACAATGGTCTTAGAATGGTATCCAACCAGGTTGAGGTTAATATGCTTGATCTCTACAATTATAACGCTATTAATTACTTCTGAAAAATCCTGAAGAAGAGAGAAAAGCAATTGACATTAGACAGATTCTTTAACCTACAAATGGAAAAAAACATGACTAATAAAAATTCAAGACTGTGTATATATGTATTTTCATTATTATATATAAATAAATGAAAGTATATATTTTTTTTTATTTTTTAAGTCTCCAGAACGAATTAATCAAATTCTCATAAAAACCTATGGTAAATCGATAATCAATTAACAAACAATTCGGATAGCGAACAAAGTCTTGGAACGAATTATGTTCGTTAACCGATCATCCACTGTATTGAGAAAAACGTGTTTTACATTTTAGAATAAAGTGTCCTCTTTACTCCAAAATGTCACTCATTTGGTCACCATATCCAAGCCACAATGAGAATGGTTGAATAGTGAAAAATGAGGCTCAAACTACTCATGAAAATTTCTGAGAATCCAACTCACTTGTCAGACTCAAATTCAGCATTTTTAAATTCAAGCAATACTTTTTTAAAAATAGATTTATAACAACACAGATTGAGCTTCACTAATCCAGCAAGCTTGGAATCAAACAGGTGCTGGAGTAGCAGATTTTCTGAATCGGTAAGGATTACAGTAAAAGATGACAATATTACTGGTAATATATGTACTTATATAGCAGTATCAATCTCTGTACACAAGCTGTGGTGGATATAAACAATGTGAGATGTTGGTGGTGCCACAGCTGCTGTGTTGACAATTTGTAGATAATTTGAAGTGATGATGTATATTCTTATAACTCTAAGGAAAAGTTGATAATTTCAAATATTTTATTGTTCAGAACTGAAAAATTTCAGTTTCTCACACTGGAAACATTGCACAGTGTTAGACTAGATATTGCTTGTTGGAGAGATTAGTAAAAACTAGTTAAGCTCATGTAACTGGTTATATAACAAAGAAACAAAGAATACACAAATATTACACTGTCTTGACTCACGGAAGGTCAGCACTAAAAAGGGGAGAGTGAAACGAGGTCACTGTCTCTAACGGCTCCCCGAGAGGTCAACAGTGCCACCAACCTTTTATTACATAGCGGAAGAATGTTTACAAAATATTGCGACACAATGCATTATATGTAACGATGTCGTAACATTACACAATAATTTCAAAAATTGATTCCAACACAGCTGATTGAGCAGCAGTCATGCAAACCAATGAATGATTACCACATTCAAAATCACAATCTAGAACCAGTGATTAATGAATCCTGGATTAGTGAGGTTCAACCCTATACTTAAACACTAATTTTAAAAATATAACAAATTAAAGTAAAGCATAAATGGAAATTTATAATTGAAGATCATTATATTTAGAAATTTTTTAAAATATTATTTTGAATTATATAGGTTTCATAACAAAACTCCAATGATATCTTCACATGACTTTCAAATAACTACAGATGAAGGAAAATCATCATTAGTAATTGCAGAAGTATTTCCTGATGATGGAGGAATGTATGAAGTAGATGCTGAAAACATAGCTGGAACAGCATCAACTATTGCAACTTTAACAGTCATTCGTAAGATAATTATATTATTATTTTAAATTTACTTGCTTATAAAAATACAGTAGAACCTAGTGTTAGACTTCTTAAGTTTATAGAAGATTGTCATATAACTGGTTAAACTTGTAGAATCAGTTATATGACCAAATAAAAGCTTACACAATTTTTCTAATGAAAAGTTGGTGCTAGAAAGGAGAGGGTAAAAATGATGATGGAAAGAGGAAGTCCTGAAAAACATTTTATCTGTTTTTAAATGTTGACTCCTATACTTAATGTAGAATTTCTGTGATTTTCTTTGTTATTAAGTATAAAATACATAAAATGAAACATAATTGTTATAAATGAATGTCAATAAAATAATCCCAACTAACCTATTTTATTATTTGATGGCTTAGTTATTTTTAAACAGTTTAATTAATTAAATAATAATAAATCAGAAAGTACAAATATACAATACATGAATCAATATTATAAGTCCAAAATATACAATAATATTGTAATATGATAATGTTGCAAATATACAGATATAATCCTAATACCATTGAAGTAACACTTTCTAAAATTTTTTAAGTAACTATTTTTTAATTTATATTTTATTATTTACAGCTGAACCAGAACATGAAAAACCACAACCAGAACCACCAATATTTATAAAACCTTTGGTTCCTCAAATTGTTCCAGAAGGTGAACCAGCAATTTTAGATGTTGAAGTGAAATCTGAACCAGAAGCCACATTAACATGGTTCTTTAACAAACGTCCTATTAAACATTCCGCCGATTTTCGTATTTCTACTGAAAACAATCATTCTTGTCTAGTTATAACTGAAGTGTTTCAGGATGATGATGGTGAATATACATGTGTAGCAGATAATGAACATGGTACAGCTTCAACAACAGCACCTTTAAAAGTTGAAGGTAAGTTATAACACAATTAAATTATAACTTTCCAGTCTATTGCACTTGCTGATAGTTAATTCAATAATTTAAATATTAGAATATGAAAACTGTAAACAATTTAAAGCATATAATATTTTAATAATAATCTAAATTCAAATGAATAGTTGAAATAAATACTGGATTCCTTATAATTAAGTATAACACAATCAGTTTCAACAGATTAATATAACTTCTTAAGGCATTAAAATGATATTTTAATAAGTTCTTGAGCTGACTTCAGAAACATCAATGCAAGACAAATAAGACTTTGTAATCTGTTAAATTAGTTGTGTTGCACTTGTTTCGATGAATATAAATGTCAAATTCTGATAGTCATGTGACCGAGGCAAATACTGTTGATTGAGGGACCTGGTTTTGAGTCCAGGTTAGAAACCTCCAGGAATTTATGGGCAGTCTATGCCAGATATATTGGACCCCATCCCTCATTATCCACACCATTTTGGGACTGGCCAAATCAATGATGATTCAATGAGAATTTATATACTTTAGTTATTGTAATATTTAATATAATTTTAATAAATTTTATACTAATAAGTTAATTAATTTTAGTATAAATAAAGATATAAAGCTTGAATATAAACTTGATATAAAGATGAAATAAACTATAGATTAGAAAATATTTCTAAGATGAATGTAATAATAATAATTGTTTATTATCTTTTTTATTTCTTGCTTTTATTGATTTAATTTTTTAAAATATTGAATATTTCATTACTATTTAAAACAGTATCCATTTCAGATTCATATGAAAGTCATCTTAATGATTTTTGATTGTAACATAACATGTTTCATACTTTATTATTTTCTTTATTATAACAAATTTTATTTATTTATGTTTATATTTTAAATATTTTCTGTTCTAAAACATAATCACAAAGAGTAAGAATTAAACATGAATATTCACAACATTTAACAGGATATTTAATAGAATAATATAAAATTATTAAAATAATGCCCTTTAAATATATCATATTACAACTTTCACATTGATAAAAACAAATAATTTTCATTAATAAAAGATATGAAAACTGATGTGAACTCCACACTACTTATTTCAAAATACAATAAATATAAAACATTTTTTCCAAGTAGACGATTCCATGTTATAAATTAAGTATCTTTGCTATAGATTTTTAAGGGCGAATAATAACGAAAGGACTTTTTAAAAATCTATAGCAAGATAATTTAATTATTAATATAAAATATTATTTTATTAGAGCAAATTTGCAGGCATTTTTGAGTCTTTAAATATAAATTTAAACATTTTTAATTGTTCTTCGAGGAGATAAAATTTTTTAAGAGATAAAATTTTAAATTTAGATAATAAAAGATTTAAATTTAAAATAATAAAAGATGAAGAGATAAGATTTAAAATTTTATCTATACAGTACTAATATTACAAAGAGGTAATGTTTGTAAGTTTGGATGTAGCGGGTAATCTCCGAAACTATTCATCCGATTTCAAAAATTCTTTCACCAATATTTAGAATGGAACCTCAGGGTGGACATAGGCTGTGTATTATTCCGTTAAACATTCATATAAATTAAAAGATATCATCTAGGGTTAAGGCTTTTATGTCCAACAGATGGCGCTACGAGTACGACGCCCTAAGTTTGCTTTTCTGTGAGGATGAATTAAAGCAGATCATCTTTTATCTATCTATATATAAATAATAATGTAATGTTCGTTTGTTCCTACCGATTCCTTTGAAATTTTGACACAACACTGCATTTGAATACGCACGTTTTTTTATATAATATACGTGTCGAAATTCCCCCCACTGGGGAGAGATGGACAGGATTAAGGCTTACCGTAAAGAACTCTGCTTCTATTTATATTATTTTAGATGCGGTTTTTTTTGCGTTTTTGATTGCATTTTAATAGGGTACGTCAACAGAATATACACTAAAAAGGAATTTTTCGATAGTCCCCCGCGGGGGAGAGGGACAGGATTAAGGCTTACCGTGAAGAACTTGGCTTCTATTATACTATTTTAGATGCGGTTTTTTGCGTTTTAATGGGCTACGTCAAGAGAATGTACACTAAGAAGGGATTTTTCGATATTCCCCCCGCGGGGAAGAGGGACAGGATTAAGGCTTACCGTAAAGAACTCTGCTTCTATCTATACTACTGTACTGCAATATCATATATACAAAGAAAAATTTTATGTTATTAATTCCACAATGTCTTGTTAAATGCTTGAATAAGATATTTATTTATTGAATCATAAATATTAATAAATCCATCTTACAATATGAATAAATTTAAAAATTTTGTTTAAATAACATCAAAATTTTCATATAATTTTCAGGGAATTTTGACAATGGTAATATCCAGAATATTTATTTATGTAGAATAGAAAAAGAAATAAAGATTATTTATGTTAATTATGATATAAATGAATTAAATAAAAAGTTTATATATATATATATATATATTGTGTATAAGTATATTTGAAAAATTTACTCTTATTTAAATGCTCTGACAGTTGAACCAGAAGAAGATCTCCAACCACCAACATTTACAGTTCCATTGACCCCTGTAAAAGTAATGGATGGAGAAGAAGCTAAACTGTTCTGCTATGTATGTTTTTAATTTATAAAACTGGTCAATTATAAAGCAAAGAATAAATGTTAATAAGTAAAATTATATATTTAGGTGACTGGTCAACCCAAACCTAAAATTTCTTGGTATCATAATGAGCATGAAGTTAGAGAAAATAATGATGTCTGGACGACTCAAAGAAATGATGGATACTGTGAATTATTTATATCTGAAGTATTTCCAGAAGATAAGGGAGAATATATTTGTAATGCAGTTAATAAAGCTGGTGAAGCAATCACGAGAACAGAGCTTACAGTGGAATGTAAGAAATTCATGATTTATTTGCCAATTTGTAATAACATTTTTATTTTCAATTAGATACAATTAATTTCATGTTTTTAACAAATTGACTAAATATATTTTCAATTATCAAAACCACAATTTAATTAATTTAAAACATTTTTTAAGCCCTTTGTTCCTTTAAGCATAATGGAATCTTCAAAAATTTATTCAAGCAATTAAACAAATTTTAAAGATTTTTTCTAGTAAATGTATTTATATTTTATCATTTAAAATATAAAAATATTCAAATAAAACTTACTTTCAGCATACGAATACATTCCCGATTCGGAGATTGCTTCTATAAGTGTTGATAAAACTTCACCAACAGCAATTGAAACAGATGGAACTTTTCCAAGTCTTTCAGAAGAAACATCAGGAAGTCCTTTTGAAATGCCAGATTTATCTGAAGAAGAAGTCTTTCCTGTACAAACCTCAACTACTACAGTTTCACTTGAGAAAAAACCAAGTGATGTTGGTACAGCTCCCAAGTTTGTAAAACCTTTACAAAAAACAACAGTTTTACAAGGAAGACCTGTAAGGTAAACCAATTCAGTTTCATAAAGAAATTATTGAGATAATATTATTTGAAAAAACCCAAACGATATAATTTTATTAAGAGTTTTTCATTTTTAACAGATTGGAATGTAAAGTTACAGGAATGCCTCGTCCAAAAATCACTTGGTATCGACATGGTAAAGTTATTAGACATTCTCCTGAAATGGAGATATGGTATGAACCAACTGGTGTTTGTACTCTACAAATTATGGAAGTAAATCCAGATGATACAGGAGAATATATATGTGAAGCACATAACAGAAATGGTGTTGATGTAACGATTGCAGATTTGGTGGTTGAAGGCAAGTACTACAATTTGAACATGTCTTCAATATATATGTATTATTTTTTATATATATGCAAATTTAATTTATAATATATGATATGCTATTAATTTTATATAAAGCTGAAATAATTTTACTAAAACTTTGCTTCTCTCATTTTATTAAATATATTTTAAATGATAATAATGCTTTTAAATTTTTCAGCATTTAATTTGTACAAGTTATATAGCATCAAATTAGATTTTAGTATTCATTAATTTAATAATATACAAAACTTATAATGCTATATTTGTTTATCTTGTGCTTTATAAACTTAATTGTTAAATTTATATAACAGAATAGAATATGTAGAACATAATACTGCTTTATAATTTAGTAGCGATTAATAAAATGTTTAATAAGTAACTTTAGAAACAATCCATATCATTATTTTGTTTAATAATAAAATAATTATAAGCCCAAAAGTCAGTTAAAATAATTTCAAAAAACAAAAAAAACCTTAGTTAAGAGTATTTGTCAGAACCAGTTTGGAATATTTGTAATTCAACGATTTTTAAATAAAATTCAAACAATAACATGAAGCTATCACAAACTGGTTTTAAAGTACAGTATTCTTAAAATACATCTCATTTAACTGACTTTTAGGCCTTTTATATGTTATATTATTTTTAATATATTTAAATGATATATATTTTTGTAATAATTAATTTATTATCTTAAATCAGTGACATATATTCTAATGTTTGACTAAAACATTAGAATATATGTATGTTTGACCAGAGTATATGTTTCAATATACTCTGGTCAAACATACATAACTGTAATATCATCAGTAATTATAGAAAATTTAAAAATTATTTTCATAGAGAAGAAAATGTTTCAGTATTTTTGATATTTTAAATAATTTTATAATAAATAAATAACACATAAAGAAGTATGAAAGATTAATAAATCCATTAAAGTTAACCTCTTATAACAATGCTTTACCTGAAAAAAAATGTTTATATATTGGATAATGTCTTCAGATCATCTCTGCCAATCTTCAAGTTTAATACATATTAGGTTTTGAAGAGAGAAAATGAGAAGAATTGAGAAAATGTTTGTCAATATTTAAAAATTAAGGATAGAACAGTTTATTTTTAAAAATATTAATAAGGATAAACACATATTTCTAAACTTTTAAATAGTTTTATACAGTTGGTTAAATAGATGCAATGGTGAGATTTGACAGCTGGATGGCCAAGGCAATTAAGGCTTTAGCCTACTACTATGGGAGATCCAGCATAGAATTCAGGTAGTCAAAAACTCCCAGGAATTTTTCAGAGAATAATCTGTCTTGGATATGTTGGGCTCTATCTTTCATCATCCAACTGCTCCATTGTGAGTCTGACCAAACCTATCATGGGTATGATTAAGTTAAAAAGGTCCTCTTAGTGTCCACAGAGACAAGAGAAAGAGGTAAAAGATGAAGAAAAAAAAAAACAATGTGGGACTTTAGCTTCTTGTTCTTAGGAGTTTCATATCAAATCTGGAATTGGGTTATTTATTTTTTGAAAGTGATTATGAATCAATTTCTTAAATAGAATCTTTGTTAGACAGCTGAGATGAAGAATTGGTTGTTATTAGATTAAATTAAATAAAGAATAATTTCTCATTTTTTACAGTTGAATGTAGATCAGTTCCTTTGACTAGGCTTTCCTCTAATATATTAGTTGGATATTCTAGTCTTATTATCAGAAATAACCAAAACAATCATTGATGAATGTATTGCTTGTTTAATGATGAAATATTTTTTATAAAACTTGAATAATTTGAGTAATAAACTTTCAGAAATAATTCTGCTTTATCCATATCTACAAGCTTCCTTTATTTACTTCTCATTTAGAAATGCATGAAAAGAAATTATAATTTTTTCTTTTTTACAAGTTTTTTTTTATAGAATCTAACATAGTATTATACTAAAGTATAAAGTATAAAGTATGTTTTTATTCACTAATGTTAGAAAGTAATGTGATGTACCAGAACAAATAATGTACCAAATATTATGAGGAATTTATAAAAACGTGATCAATCATATGCTACTCCTTCATCCCTATTGAAGAAGGTTGTTTTGATGGGATAAGACAACACAAGGGAAATCTGCCAATCAATTAATGAGGGTTTCTTTACATTATGGAATCTTGACATCATGAATTATTCTGTACAAATAAGAAAAGAAAACATAACTGTCAAGATCCATATTGTAAACTGGCCTGCACCAATAAAAAAACTTGAATTCATTGGATCATACATTGGTTAGTAATACAAAGATCAAAAACTACTATCAAGAAACAAATGAGACACCAAGGAACTCTCTTCTGACATACTGGTATATCATAAAAATTTTTTTCACTTTAGTGGAAAGATTGAAGTGAATGGAATTTCAGAATTAAATAATATTAAGTATGAAAAGATCAGATATAAAATTACAAAATATTAAAATTCATAGATAAGCTCTGATATCAGCAGTAAAAAGATAAAAATCAAAAGAGTAAATAAGACAGTATTTAGTTTCTAAATTTTACTGCAAGATATTTCCTGTCATTAATTATTAATCTTATAAATTTGCTTGAGATAATTGTGTAAATCAAATGCAGGTCAAATCTGCAAAAAATTTACAAAAATAAACCAAAGTCAAGCTAAAGCTAAAGCTGAAACTGTTAACGTCAAAATAGATCAGTGTTTCCCAACCTTTTTTTGTGCTATGCCCCACCTAAGCCTTTCTAATATTCTTATGCCCCCCTAACATATACAGCGGCTATACAGTTAACTTAAACTCTGGACGAGTCCATTTTCGAATTGCCCCCCTTAACAATCCAATTGCCCCCATGTGGGGTGTGGGCCCCATGTTGGGAAACACTGAAATAGACTATAATGATAGTAATTAGAAATCTGTTATTAAGATAAGATATTGTAATGCATTTCATAAGATGGCTTTAATTATAAAAAATTCTAAATGTTGTACGTTTTAGAGTAAATAGAACATAAGTTCAGCATACAAGTGACAATGAAAAATTCTTAAAAGCTTTAGACTAGAATTTAGAACTAGACAAAAATTACCTAAATTTATGAACAAATATTAAATGGTGTAAGTGCAAGACTATGATTTAATTTTTTTTTCATGAATTTAAAGCTACAGATAATAAATAAAAGTAAACAATATATATTTGTATTACCTGATTATTTTCAAAAAATTGTTTTTTACATAATGATGTACAGGTTAACATTTAAAAATCTGGTGATCTCCAGACCTGAAGAGTGCTGGATTTTTTATGGTTATATATGATGTACATATTTAACAGAAAATGACTATTTGTATAATTCTTTAAAGAAAGAAAATTAAACACTAAATGAAAAGCAAATAATGCTCATCAACTAAATAAAAGAACAGTTCTACAGAATTTTATTTAGGTGCCTCCAGAAAACAGTGGCGTGCCAACATGGTAAATTTGAAAATGCACTTCGAAATCCATTCCAGAAATCTGAAGGAACTGACTTATCGATGACTGGATTTTTGAATGTCAACCTATATTTAAACCATAATATTATATTACTATCAATACATTAATACAACTGTTAGCTTTTTTATGTAAATTACTTTGTAGATGTTTCTTCACATGTTAAATTTTGATAAATTACAGTTATTTACATTATAATTATCAGTATAAAACAAATCATGACTTATTTAAATATAAAAAGTTAAAACAGTATTTATAAAATGAAAAAAGTAGATTTCATTCTATGAATATAAACTCAAGAAATTCATTAAGGACTTTCAAGGAGAATTCTCCCCATCAACAGTATCTACACATTAAAAATGATCAGAAAAAAGAAACAAAGTTTGTGTTATAGTTAAATATTAAACTGTAATTAAAATAAAATGGTTAATACTTAATAATTTTATAAATAGAATTTTAATATCTCATTTACTTCATATAAAATATTAAAATTTAATTTTTAATCATCTACACCTCATTTCATATTCTCAATAAGTTTTGTATTACACTTCAATATATAATAAGTTTTATAAAAATTTCAACAAAGATGTTTAAAAGTTTTTGTCAAACAGTAAATTAATATTTCTTTTCTATTCATTCATACATATTAAGTTTTCACATTATTATTATGGAAATAAGTTAGCAGATATATAAGCATATACCTTTCTGTAGCAGAATTTCTATAACAATTTTCCATAATAAATTATTCAATCTGAAATGACCAGAATAATAAAAGTCATTTAAATTATGAAATTCTAAATTCTCCATGTTAATAAGAATTATTTCTTCTCTGTTTTTGATCAACTCCAATCCACCTGATAGACTGATATTGAATAAAACTTATAAGAATAAAAGAGAAGACAGTATCTTTATAAGAATAAATTTTAAATACATGTATAACAACATACATAACCCTATATTTCTAATACCAAATTATCTGCCAGATTTTTTTCATTGAACTTTGTTAAGGCTAATTAATAATCCAAAACAAGGTAATTTGGCTAGTAAAGTTGTTATCTCATGATAACTTTAATAATTAATTTATTTTTAATTATTAAATTTATTCTGATATGACAGTTTAACTGCCATCTCTAGTCAAAATGCTCTGTTTTGGATTATTAATTAGCCTTAATATAGTTCAATGAAAAAAATCTGGCAAATTATTTTGTATAAAGTTTAAATAAAATTCATTGAACATTCTAAAGCATTATTATGAATGAATGATAGCTGGCCAAGATGTTAGTCTGCCATTATATAGAACCAAGATTCAAGTAGGTCAAAAACCTCAGAAATTTCTATAGATAGTTTGATCCATATATGTTGGGATTTGTTGCTGTTGCTTGTCACCCAACCATTCCATTGTGGAATTGGCTGAGCCTATGATGGGCATGAAAAGCAGCTCTCTTATTAGTCAAAGAGCAAAAATAAAAACACAAATAAAATTTTAAAAACATTATTATAATGGAAATTAATTGACTGAAA